AGTTTATCTTTGGAGATTACATTGGTGATTTTGAAACCAAGAAATAGTAGAATTTGTTTGAAACTATATATTGAAAGCACAAATCTTTCTTTGAAACTGCTTTTGATAGCAGTTTTGGATAACCAAGCTTCATATCTTAAAAACCAAGCTGTTTTATCTTTTGAAATTGGTGTTCAGTACTTTCTGGTTCCAGCTTGCTGTTTTGTTTTTAACTGGTTTACATAGCATAGGGATTACTTCTCATAGAAAGTTCTGTTAACTAGGTACACGGTTACTCTTACAAGCTGTGGAAGATCTTCTAGTTATTTAAGTTTTTCAGAGACTGCTTTGATGTTTTGTTGATGCTTTTCCTGTTCTTTCCGGAGAAAAAGATATGCAGAATGTTTTGGGAGAACCCAGTTTATGTTCTAGCATTCACTTGCTGTTGTAAAAGTAACTCATTTTGAACCTAAATGATGTGTAGAACAAAATCTAGGTGTCTCTCAGTGTAGTCAACTTACTTGTAGATTCATAGTGTTTCATAGTGGAGAATATATATATGCAGCCAGCAAAACTTTTAGGAGTTTCACTCATCTGTGGCTTAACTTAGTTCAGGTTATGGTAGGATCAGTTCTTTTCTCTGTAGTCAACTCACCTGAGTTTAAAAGGTTTAAATTTCAAAGACTGCACATACCCGTCAGTTCTGCATTTCTTTGGGAAGGAGTAGGTCTCGTGTCTCTGTCACTGTGTTTGGTGGGATCAGGCTCCAGTCCAGCTGTCGGCCTGCCCGTATGGCTGTCCTTGCTGGGCTGTGGGGAGCGAGAGAATACCCCGTTTGGGATCAGTGTCCGCTGGGGTAAGCTGATCGTGAGACTGCAGTCTCAGAATTGGTATGTCTTTATCACTGGCTTAAAAACTAATATTTTTTTTTTTTCTAAACGTGTCAAACTTACCAGTCTTTTAGGGGGAAGAAAACCCACAAGAATATTTACAACTTATTTCAAAAAATAATTCAGTTTAAACAGGAGACCCGTAAGTGTTTTCTGTTCTGGAGTATTGATGCAAGTGCTTTGTTACATCTTCTTGGTTCCAACTCGGGACTGAAACAGCTTCTTGGGACTTCTGTTAGGTGTGTAGATACGACAGGAAGCGTATCCAGGCAGTGAGTATGAGAACTGTGAGAGTTTTTGAGAGTTTCTGAGCTTCCATGTTTCATTCCTGATACAGTTTAAATGTTTTACCTTTTATTTTTTTTTTCTGCCTGTTTTTCTGAGGGAATGGGAAGACTGATTATTATTGTTACTGTTATATTATTATTAATTTCGGGTCAGTCTTTGCTGAGAAGTTAAACTGATGAATGAGTGTGGAGATGATGGTGGAGGTTGACTAAATTACAATGTACAAATGTAGAACAGGTTAATAAACTTCTGTTTTCTAGCTTGGCTTTTTTGTTTCAGTGGGAAATGTATAATGCAACTATTCTAAATTTTGGATTATCGTAATTGCTTAACACTGTTAAAAAGATAAATGGGGTTTTTGAGAGGTCTCAGAAAACAGACTTGCAATAGGCTCCTCCATCTTCTCTTTGCTTCCAGTGAAGTGTGCGTTACAAAATGTTTACTTCAGCTGGTTGAAGAGATTACCTTCTCCCCTTCCACCTTGCAGCTTGTCATGTACGCTTGTGCCTCTAACTGGTATAAAACATACCATTGAAATTACCTGATTAAATATAGTGCCTCCCTCCTGCTCCTGGCCCCCTTTTTTAAGGGTTATTTTTAATCAGATCATTCCAGTGATCCAGTTTATAGCATAGCACTGTAAATGACTGTAACAGCACAGCTGAGTGGTCAGGCATTTTAAAAGCAGTATTGTTTTTGAAGCTAATGTCATGTAGCCGCATATTTTTTTTTTCCACTTTGGGATGACATTTTTGAGGCAATTCAGAGAAGGTAACGAGAACTCGAGTGTGAGGGGAAGGTATCTGTTACCATCAAGTAACTCAATTTTGGATTCCTATCAAAATCTAGGGCATACTCGAGCAATCCTTGGTAGCTTATATGTAGTGCTTTTCTCCTAGGGGACTCCAAAATACTTCAGGTATCTCGGTGGAAAAAGCTGAAGCACAGTGGCTTGCTATCTGCAGAACTGGGGTCTGCTGACTCATGAGCTGTTAAATAGACAATTTACATGCTCACTTTGCTGCTCGAGGTTGTTTTGTTGTTTTTTTTTTTCCTGCTGTCCTAGCTTTTATGCTTCAAGATGTATATCCGTGATGAGTGAGGATGAAGTTGTGTGTGTGTGGTAAAATTAAGAAGATCTTTACTTCTTGCAGACACTGCAGTAGGTTGCTAAGCAGGAATTTTACTGCAGTTATTTTACAGCACTAATGCTGCTCTTAGGTTGCTGTTAGTTGACAGAACAGATTGAAAAGAAAGCATTTTACTTCCCTAATATTTTTGTGTAATGCAGCATTTGGATTTTACAGTGTCTTTGGGATGATAGAAAAATGCTTGCTTGGCATTTGAGATCTTTGTGATAACATGTAACTAAATACACATTTGCTTGTCCTCTGCATTGCAGCTAGAAGGGCTTTCCTTCCTATGCTTTTACCTTTCTGATATGAATATTTTTAAGGAAGAAGTAAAGAGAAGTAACTTCTATTCATAACAGTTAGAAATAGACACGTTACTCTTTGGTTTTTAGTTGATAAATTGCTGAATAAAAATGAACAAAGCATTTACGTTAGACCTAAGAATATTTGACCATTTAAGAAAACTTATTCACTGTTTGAATATATTATTGCAGTATGGATAATCTGAAGATACCAACCATGCTGAAGTGAGGCTGCATGGAAAAACTGTGCAGAAACAGTTGTAGACATTGAGGATATTGAGGCATAAGGATATCCCTTATGCCCTTAGCCACCACAATGGATTATGTGTATTGCAGCATAATTTTGCAATACATGTTTTCTTCAACGAAGTTGATCTAAGTAGTGTTCTCCTGGAATTTGATGTTCTATCCTGTTTGTTTTACTGTTGTTATTGTTTATGGGTTAGTGTTGGAAACTGCATCACAGAAATTGGTGGGGTTTTTGAATGCATTTTTGTAGGCACTGTTTAAACTGGCTCATATTAGCAGTCTGTTTACTGTGCGGCCTCACAAACAATTGCATCAGTGTGACCAAAGGAATTGTAATCTGCAGAATGGGAGTAAGTGGTTTGAGCAAGCAGGAACTTTTAAAAATTTCTTTGTCTGCAAAGCCAGTTTGTTGTAGGATTTAAGCTCCCTTAAGCAGTGGAGGCTTCAGTTAACCTGGCTGGCTTTGCGCTGGGGCATTGCAGTGTTTGAGCTCTCTACCCTCCCCTTTAGACTTCACAGCTCAGCTACGATCTCTTAAATCATGAAGACTACTTTTGTGACTGTCGGACCATGTCATCATCTATTCTAAAATTAGTATGTATAGGAGTAAACTGACCTTGTTTCCTGTTGTGGTAGTTTTCTAATATGCCAAATACTCTTCAGGGGTATTTTTTTGATATATTACCAACTGTGGCTGCTGCATTTGACAACTATTCCTCTGCTAGTGTCTGTATCCAGCATGAAATTCCCAGTAATATATTTTTGGAGCTCAGGAAGTTCTTACTGCTTTGACTTTGCCTGTGCCATTACTGACTCTGCTACAGTGAAAGATAAAGTAGTTAAGTGTTAAATCTAACCTGTAGGATTTCCAAAGAAATGAACTGTTGGTGCTAGGTGACATGAAACGGACAAAGTCTCATAAGGGTGGTTATGTGTTCCAGGAAGTGATGCTGGGCACCAAATACTTTGTTAGAGGAGCTTTCTTGTTAAACTGTTTCAGAGACTTTGATATTTTCAAAAGGTCTGAAACTGAGCGTAGAAATTGAATTAGCTAGAAAAATATCAGTAAAATACTTTAACTGAAATGTCCTGGAACAAGAATAGTAAAAAAACCAAAGACTACAACCACCAACATAACCTGTCATTCTTTGGCAATTATAAACTCTGAAACAGTGGTTGCATCGAGGTTTTAATTATCGTACATTCAAAATGAAGTGTTTCTGTTTGCTTTCCTTTCCATGTTGTTGTTACACTAGATTGGGAAGATAGTTGTTAAGGATTCCTTTTAATGGCTTTTTTAATAAGACCAAGGTAAATTTCATAAAAAATACAAGCACATGTGATAATACAGAAATGGTGAAAGCTTAGAGCTTAATAATTAGTTATGTTATTCTTACAGACTTTGCTTCCTTTCTAAGAACCTTTCTACTTAACCTGTACGTTCTTTGGCACTTCTGGCACGCCTGAGTTTTACCTGCTTTTGGCTAATGCCAGTGTTTTGTATGCTTTTGTATTTCGGCAGATTAGAGAACTCATCCTGCTGAAAATTAACCTAATGATTCCTTTTTCTGTTTCTCCCCATGAAAAAGAAATCTTAATGCTCTCGAACAAAAATATTTTAGAGCTATTAATATGAATTGTGTTGGTGGGCATTCTTGCACAAAGGATTAGAAACTGTTTTAAATTCTTTTAAACTATCTTAACTGATGCAAGTACAAAGAATTAGTTCTGAATCTTATTAGCATTGACAATGTTTTTTTGCAGTCATGCTTTTGGTATTGTAGTGATACAGTAGAAATAAGCTCTGACTCAGAACCGAGTTCAGCTCTTTATTGTTTGGACTGAAGGAAATGTGCATTGGGAGTGCTCTCCCCATTAGAAGAAATGTATATTTCGTCAGAAATTAAGACTAGTTGTGAAGATATATTGTGATAGCCAAATAGCATTGAAATATTTGTCTCTTGGGGAAGTATTTACGTTTTTTTAACTCAGAAATAAGTTTTCTCGGGCACTATTTCTACATAACAGTTGCATGCTTGTGTAATGCATTACATTCTGTGTTGACTGTAATATTACAGTATCTAATTTTGTTAGCACAAGTAGAAAAAAGCAGTAACCTGATTTTGGCTCCTCATAATAGCATTTTTCTTTCTTTTCAGAGCAAACTTGATGATTACCAGGAACGAATGAACAAGGGAGAACGTCTGAATCAAGACCAACTGGTAAAAGGAAAAAAAACAAACAAACAAACAACTAACCAGATCTCTGTTAAATTGTTTTGTGATCTCAGTGGGGAAGGAAGAGATGAATTTCACTTCCCCTTTCCCTTTGTTAAAAGCCAGATTTTTCTGAGCTCTGACTTGGCCTCATTTTTTTTATTGCCTAGAACATCTCAATTTTTCTCTAAATCAGAAACTGAAGGAAAGGGTAGATGAACATGTTGTAATGCTTTATGCTTGTTGAGGTTAGGTTGTAAATAAGCTGTCGTGAAAATTAGCACACGTTACAACCTAGGACTGTTGAAAGAGCTAAATGATACCTTTGAGGTTCTCTGGACATCATCCTTTTCTTTGCAGAAAATGTGCCCAGGGAGAATTTCAGGAGCTTAGTCACTTGGTAGCTTGTAAATACTGTGCAGTCTAGTTAGAGATGTAGCCTAGACCAAGCTCTGAAGGACTGTGAAAATAATCTATGTCCATTTGTACATCACAGCTCTCAGTGCAGCAGATGTGATGCTCTAGATAAGCTCGACTTACTGGATGTGTGTTGCTTCTCTCCTTGTTGGGGCTGGTTCTTAAAGTACGTTATTATAGAGCTTCACTCAACAGCAGTTTTCCAGTTGTAATAAATGTAAAGCAAGTATTGAATTAAATTCAGTTGTATGATGCAAACATACATATTGATACTTAAAGAGATTACCAGATGCTCAGCAATCAACAATATTTTGATGATGATTTTTAACATTGAAAAGAGTGAAGGAAAGGAAAATGGACCCTGCAACTATTGCAGCTGTTGACAATTAAAAGAATTAGCTGCTTCCCTTGGTCATGTGGTCTTTTCATCTGCCTAGGCTTCCCTTTGGTTCTTCTCTGCCAACTGAAAACTGAAATATCACTGATCTGTATATTTTTATTTTTCAATGACTTATTGTGAAAATAAACCATGAGAAGTTTTCTGTTTGATGAGCAGGGAAGATAACTGAAATCTCATATTGAGGAGGATAGCTCATGAATTAAGTTTTATGAAGACCACAGGCTGACAACCACACTTTGTAAAGATAAAATCTTTTTTGGTTGCAGAAATACTGAAAGTATTTGCTATTTTCACTTATATCTTCTGCATCTACAAATCAGCTAAGAATGATGAATTTTGTAAATCACCTAATGTATGTCTAATACGTACTATGTGTATAAGTATCTTGGCTATATTACAAATGGAAATACGTAAGGAAAAAAAAAGCAAATACATGTTCCTTGTTTTTCAAAGAAAGTACAACCTTACCTTTTCTTTGGCTCAGTTGTTCTTACTAAGAACGTATCCATTATTAATTGTCACAGCAGGAGTGTAAATGTCTTAGCTGTTCGTTTTTGGTTTTTTTTTTTTTTTCCCCTGAGTTGACTCTGTGTACTCAGTACTGCAAAGTTGGATTAAGGAGTTTGGATTGCTTTGGTACAAATCAGAATATGGGATTTAAGAAAATAGCAAATACAGATTTCTGGAGAAGGGAACATTATGGTCTGTATTATGTTTTGATTTTTGGCTCTGACTCGAGATAACAGTGCATTAATTCTCAAACATTTATCTCTTGAGCAGTTTTGAGTTGCCGGATTACCCTTCTCCCCCATTCCCCCAGCCTGCCAGTTAGTTTTTGTCAGAAATTGGCTAAACCCAAATATTAAACCATTATGTCATGCATGTGAGCATATATACGTGCATGCCTTAGCAGATTTATCTAAGAAACTAGAGGCCCTAAAGACATCCACAGGTCTCTTCAGTGTTTTGTGAATACAGCGAAAATCAAAATTTGAGTTAATATTGTTGCAGGCAGTCCCGTTCAGGGATGCTGTGTCTCACTTAGGAACTAAAAATGTGGGAATTTTTTTTGTTGGAAGTGTGTGTTTCATTCTATTTGTGATAGCTTACTTTTATGGTTTTGTTGTTTTTTTTTTTTGTTTTTTTTTTTAAGGATGCGGTGTCAAAATACCAGGAAGTGACAAATAATCTGGAATTTGCTAAAGAACTGCAGAGGAGTTTTATGGCTCTGAGCCAAGACGTAAGTAAAGAGCAAGTGGTGCAATGTGGGCTATCAGCTGCTTGGGCTTTAAACGTTCTTTCACCAATATTAGATGCAGTAGTTGCCTCTATTTACAGAGATTAAATGCTCATGTTTTCTTGTATGTTTGGCTGTTATCTTTTACTCTGTGCACTAGTTTGTGTTGGGTTTTCTGAAGACTATTCCTAAAGATTTTTCTGATGGGACTACATAAATATATGGGAACAAAAATAATGTAACTTTCTGACAAAGTATAACTGTTGAAAACAGTGTGATTGCAAAACAGGCCTGTCATGCAACATTATAATCAGCCACTTACTGCCAATAGTAACATTTTCTTACGGACATTTCACAGGCCTGCTTCTCCCTTTGGCAAGTCACTGAGGGTTTCCATTTTGTTGTATTACCATAGGATATCAAGTCTCAGCAATTGAAAGCCTTGCAGTTCCTTTTTCAAGGTTCTTTCTGTCTTGTTAATTGCAAAGACAATCTGAAACTTCAGTATGGGACAAGATTCGTACTATTTTCATAAAGGATATGTTGACTGAATCCTAGTAAAACGGGTAATCTTTCGGGTTGGTGCTTTATCAAGGATGTAAATTAACAGTGTAATCAAGAGTAAGTACTAACACTCTTAACAGACAGTTCCAGTTGTATGAACACCTTTGCTTTATTTCGTGTGCCAAGAGCTGTGAACAGAAAGATCCACTTTAGACCTCTGCAGTGTCACTGCAAGGAAGAATTAACTTCAGGGCAAGCTCAAAGCGTAACCCATTCTGCAGGACTGGAAGATTCTAAATGCAGTAATACACTTAGAGTTAATGAGTTACGGAAAGAGCAGCAACATAGGTAGAATTCATTGTGTAGTCGATGTTAGTGCAGCAGACTGGTCTAATGAGTGTATTAAGTTTGTGAACAGACTATGTGATAATTTGAAGGGCATCAGCGTCCTCACATTATAAACTGCTTTCTACATTCGATGTGCCTGTAAACTTGTAGGCTTCTAAGCAAGGCCGTTTCTTTGCTTTTCTTGCATCAGTGTTCCATGTATGTTTATGGAATGTTAGTAATGAAGAACTTTCTTCTTCGAACAAGTTTGTCCTGAAATATTTCCCTAGTCAGCAGACTGCTAAAAGAAGCGAGTGAATTCAGGAGTAATAAATTGGTGCTCTGCTTTCAAACTTGGCAATTTTTCCTGATTGGAGTTCGTTTTCATACAGTTGATTTTAAGATATGTCTTTGATTTTAAAAAGAAATTTAGATGCTTCAGAGGGAGAAAGTTGCTCTTACGAGTGAAATTTTTTGACAAAGAAGATTAGAGATTTGTATCTTTACAAAGAGAGCAAGCTGAATGTTGGGTGCTAGGTATTTGGATTAAGAACAAGAATGGAAGAAATGCCCTGTAGGTTTAGACTAATGATGCGTTTAGACCAGTATTATGACACTGGTTGTGAAAGGTACTATGTAGAGTACAAGGGTGATGAATATCTGTCTTCCGTTCTCTTCCAGCATCTGTGATCCTCAGCAGAATGTTAGAGTAGATGCATTCCTGTTCCCTTCAGTGTCTGTGGATCTCATGTCCAAAAACTTGTTCAAATTCTTCTTGAACTTGCTGATACCGTCTATCTCCCCAGCCTTTCGTGGCAGAACATTCCACAAGTTCCCTCCCATGGTGTCTAAGAAACAAGAGTACTTTTGTTTATCTGTTTTAAGCTGATCTCCTAGTAGTGTCAGTGAATGCCTCCTACTATCATGGAATATGGTGAATAACCGCTCTGTTCATGTTATCTGCTGGCCTTTCTGAAAAATCTGGATCACCTTTACTCCTGCAAATTGAAGAACCCAAGACTTAGGCTCTGCTTATGAGGCAACTTCTCTGTCCCCTTAATCATTTGAGTCATCCTTTTCTGTACCTTTTTTAATTGCTGTAAGTCCTCCTTGAGTTATGGAAGACAGAAGTTGTAAACAGCCACAATGTTTGTTTAAAAGGGACTTAATTTTGTACATTTTTGCCACTTTCATCTAGATCAAAATCACTTATTGTTTACAGAATAATTCATAAAAGAAGCAGCTAATAGCAAGCTGGGTTTGTTTGAAATAACATGTTTGTGTCTGAAGCTTTAGACGTGGTAACTGCAGTTACCTAGCTGGTTGTAAGTCATGAAGTACAGACTTCAAGTAAGAATATGATCAAGATTCAATAAGATCCAAGGTTTGTGGCAATGATTGTAAAGTTTCCTTAGTTTGCAGGGTTTGACTCTACTTAAAAGATACTCTCCAAATTTTCACAGCTTATTCTGCTGTAATATTAGGTTGATAAGTGGCAGTTCAACACCAACGTTGATCTCATCAATAAAAGACACTTCAAATCTATTTTTCCCCCTGAGTTCATTACAGAATCTAAGTTTAAGCAATTTAAAATTTTTTTTCATTTTAAACAGATCCAGAAAACAATAAAAAAGACAGCTCGCAGGGAGCAACTGATGCGAGAAGAAGCTGAGCAGAAGCGTTTAAAGACTGTTCTAGAGCTACAGTTTATTTTGGACAAGTTGGGTGATGATGAAGTGCGCAATGACTTGAAACAAGGATCAAATGGAGTGCCAGTACTGACAGAGGAGGAACTGACAATGCTGGATGAATTTTACAAGCTAGTTTACCCTGAACGGGACATGAACATGAGGTAGGCTTACAGTAAAGTATTTTTCTTTATAGCTGTCAGTCAGTTAAGGATATATTTGTACTGTGGTAATTTAAAGACTTGATAAGAAATTAACTCCTACTAATACATTTTTTTAAGGTTGAATGAGCAGTATGAGCAAGCATCTGTTCACCTGTGGGACTTACTGGAAGGGAAGGAAAAACCAGTTTGTGGAACAACCTGTAAGTATAGTTTTTGTATTAAGTGATCGCGCACTTAATTTGTGCTTGAACTAAAATACAGTGTCTGATATAAGAGAACTTTGGCAGTTAATTTTATCTCTCTGAGTTTTTAGAGTAGGTACTTTTTTCAGGCCTTAGCTGGACTGTGATATAATAACTTACTGAAGTGTGAGCTTACTGCATGGTGAATTCTTTTTTTACTGAGGCAGCATTACTCTGTGTTTAAGCTTAGTCTGTTCCTGCTGTTTCAGCAGTATTCTGCTGCTGGTGGTGCTTAGTTGCAATTCTTTGTTTTCTGGAAACGTGTGTGTGAACAAGGAGCTTTGTCAATAATAAGGCCGTGCCAGTTCATCTATTAGGTCATATTTACGGTGATGTTTTGCTCCCCCTTTCCTCCTGCAAAAAGCGTTCTGGTTTTGCCCTGGTTTGATTGATTAACTCTGTAAATCGGGGTGTGGTCATGGAGATGGCCTGCTTTCTTGCAGAAATGTAAATTTCTGAAAGAAAGTTTTAGGGAACAATACCCTTTTTTGTAGGTGAAATGGCTAACAACCTTCCCCCACTTCAAAAAAAAATGCGATTATCCTTACTATATTAGAGTAACATTGAGCTGTTGAAAGAGGTTTTTGTGTTCTAGTCATAGAAAGTGAAACGATCATATTGCAATTGTTATCTAACTTGCTTTATTGAGGAATGTTACACAGGAGATTGTGAGATACTGTGACCTTAATGGTAAGAAGATTTTCCTTGTTTGTGATAAAATAGGAAACTTCAAATTGTTTATATAGTTGAAATGAAATTCTGTGAGGAGGTACCAGGTTGGTATTTTCTTTAACTAATATTTGTTCTGCAAGAACTCGAGTCTGAAATGGGTGTGATGTTAGGTCTTTGTGAGAGCTGAAAGATATGGGCCATATACTTCTTTGAAAAGGTGGAGGACGCAGAAGTTACGGGGATAGTTTTTAGGAGGGTGCTGATGTATGCTCGGAGAACTAGTCATTCTCGTACTGCATGAAGTTGTGTTGGGTAGTGTATCTGGATTTCCCTGTAAATACTTAAGGGGAGGGTGCCAGGAGGATGGGACCAGTCTTTTTTCAGTGGTGCCCAGTGATAGGACTAGAGGTAATGGGTACAAACTTGAATATAGGAAGTTCCATCTAAATCTGAGGAGGAACTTCTTTACTTTGAGGGTGGCAGGACACTCGAACAGGCTGCCCGGAGAGGTGGTGGAGTCTTCAACTCTGGAGAAGTTCAAAACTTTCCTGGACACCATCCTGTGCAACCTGCTCTGGCAGGGGGGTTTGAGTAGATGATCTCCAGAGGTCCCTTTCAACCCTTATCATTCTGTGATCTCAGGATGAGCTTGTAGTGATGTCTCTGGTGGGCATTGCTAGTTTGCTTTGTCTTATAATAAGGATGGATGTTAGTGTATCTCTGTGCTCTTCTGTGTGTACGTATTGATTCATACAGTGATCATCACTTGCCAGAAGTGCATTGTGAATCTTCCATTTTGAGTCTGTTTTGGTTTTTGTGAGTCTGGACAGCCAGTAATGCTGCCTTGCCGATCTGGTTGATTGTTTTGGGTTAAGACACCATAGCATTCATCTGAGGCACTGAGTGCAAGCTTGTGCTTGTTTTGCTTATGAAGACTATTCTGAGCCACTTCACCTCCGGGGAAGAACCTTCATGAATTACCTGTGTAGTTGTGTTTGTAGTGACAGTTGTTTTGTAAGAAAGTGACTTAGAGTAAGGATTTTTTAATTAGGAGATTACAAATAAATCAGTTACAGTTGATAAAGACTTCAGTGAGTTCCTAAAACTTTCCAAACTGAAAACTAAGCAACCAGATATTTTTGAAATAGCAGGAATAAAAGTATGGTAATTAAATTAATAAACTTTACCTCACTTTGAAGTGTTTCACAAATCTTTTGAAGAGTATTAACATACTCTTAAGATTCTCCTTGCTCTTCAGATTTTTATGAACGGAAGTTGATTATTTATTGATTTATTTAATATGACCTAGTAAGACAGAAGAAATTCTGTAACAGTAGTGTCCATGGATTAGCTTGGGCCAGCGACCTTTTCCCAGAAAAAGGGTAATAAAATTTATGTGGGATCTTTGGGAAGGAAAGAAAAGGTTATTAGGATTGAATTACTGTTAATCTTCAACTTCTTCCATTTTCCTAGATAAAGCGCTAAAGGAGATTGTTGAACGTATTCTTCAAACTAGTTACTTTGATAGTACCCATAACCATCAGAATGGATTATGTGAGGAAGAAGAGGCAGCACCCGCACCTGCAGTAGAAGACACTGTAGCAGAAGCTGGTAAGAATATGAAGATCACCTGTGACTGGCATATTTGTTAGTGTTGTACTGTCTTGTCTCTTTGGATTCGTTAGAATGCAGTTTTAAGTGCTAAAACCACCTGCCTCTCAGTTTTTCAGGTGTACTAGTGTTTTGAATAGAAATGTCATTTCTCGATAATTAGGTATACATCTGGCCAGGCAATATCTATAGGGGCAGTAAGCCATTCATACAGCCCTGCTCTGACCCCTGGGGAAAGAGCAGGAGAGCTGTGTTCCAGAAGAGTTCTGTAAGGTTGACTCTTGCCAGCTGCTGCTTTGGAGGGACCATAATGCTTTCTTATGATCACATTGTACAAGTCTTTCGTCATCTGCAAGGAAAGGCTTACTGTTCGAACTCTGGAGCGTCAGCTGAATGAAGGAGCAAAGTCACTTAATAGTACTTGTTTTGAAGACGTCTTTCAGCGTTTGTCTGTCCAATATGGCACTTGCTGAAATAAGAAACCAGGCTATCAATGAAAGTATTTAGAAGCAGGTTTATGCAAATGAAAATTATCTTTTTCCTATTTTGTTTTCTTGTAGAACTTCTCATTATGATTTATAAACAAAATCTTGTTTGTCTGTAGTATTAAGATTATAAAAGATTAAAGTTCTGGTTGCCTGAGGCTTTTCCATTTTTCAGTAGTTCCACCAGTTTAATCCTTTGTTATAAGGGAAGCTTTTTTGAAGCAGAGAGTATGCTTACATACTTCAGAAACTCTAGAATATGGTACCAACTTGAAGAAAAGATTCATGACCTTTTTTCCCTTTTGAATATGTTGTGGAGAAAATTGAAATTTGGGGTAACTACACATATCTCTCCATAGCAAGAATTTAATGTGATTTTTAAAAAAGAATTTTATTTCAAGACTCTGAAAATCCTTCTTATTGCTTAATTCCCTGCTAATGTCCTGTTGTTATTTTCTTCATTCTGAGACACAAGTTTCTTCTTCATCTACTTTGTGACATTAGGTTTGTTTCTGAACCCAGCGGATACTTAACAGTACAAGTCAGCAATATTGAGGCTCTAATTTCAGATGTAATCAAAATCCCATCCTTTGAAGATGTCTGACAAGGCGACTCATTCCTTTACATATAGCAAGCTTCTAATATTAGATATTAATGTCACTCAGGAGGAAAAGTGTGTCCATTCATTCTTACCTAGCTGTACGTCCTGTAATAGTAGTCTGTAACACTTCTTTAATGTAAATGTCTTTGCATTTTTGCAGTCTTTTATTTACCGTACTTCTTCAAAATTTCACTTTTTTGGGGGGAGATTTTTTTGTCTAAATTTCTGTCTTCTAGGTCTAACTTGATATTTCACTTTTTTGGGGGGAGATTTTTTTTGTCTAACTTTCTATCTTCTAGGTCTGTAACTTGATTTTTGGTTTGGTGGGGTTTTTTTTCCACATAAATGGTATATTTTTCTTACAGAACCTGATCCAGCAGAAGAATTTACTGAACCAACTGAAGTTGAATCAACTGAGGTATTATTCACTGGAAAGACTGTCATTTTATATAGCTTTAATGCCACTTACTTTTACTTTCATACCCTTTCTTATTTTTATTTTAGTATGTAAACAGACAATTCATGGCAGAGACTCAGTTCAGCAGTAGTGAGAAGGAACAGGTAGATGAGTGGACAGTTGAAACGGTTGAGGTAAGATCTTGTGTACTGCAGGTAAAATTGCAATCCCTGTTTCCGCTGACTCACAACTCATAGGTTCTAGTATTGCATCCCTTCTCCCCCAATATATAAAAATACACACATTTAAATAGGCTTGGACTTACTACTCAGTCTTTAATTACATATTTAGCTCAGGACTACCTAAAATACTACATAGTCTGGCTAAGTTTGTGGAGAACTTGCTTTGTTCAATAGTGGCTTGCTTGGAAAAACAGGACATAAGTCTTAGGCTTAAGGAGACTTACTGTAAGAGACATTTTCTGCAAATATAGAACTTGAGTTTATCTACACAGCTGCTGACAGCATGGCATAGTTGTGCGTTTCATTGCGTGCTTCCATGGAGAGGGAGCTGGAAATTAGTATCTCAGCTAATATCTACTCCAGATTGCATATGCACATAATTTGATGTTAAAATATGCCTGCCTGTACATCTCTGCTTTCAAGAGCTGTAGTTTTTCAAGTGCTTAACTTGTTACTACTTTGCAGTTGAGTGGTTGTTCACTTGTGATATTTGTGGTACAATGCTATTGGGATCCATTCCCAATTTAGTAAATGAGACTCTAGACTTGACTACATGTACAAGTCCGTTTTATTATACTGCAGTTTGTGTTCTGCACATACTGGAAAGGACAAGTCACATGGAGTCATTCAGATGTTTGATATGTTGGAACTTGGGTTGTATTCCATCTGTTAGGAACAGGTATGACCAGCATCTTTCAGGTGCTGGAGGCTTAATTTTTGATTCACTTTAGCTTTCTGTAGCAGCAAATTACAGTCAGTCAATTTTTTAGGCTCTCCTTGGTATCTCCAGGCTCTTTTAAGTGTAGGAGTAGAGTAAATGTTCATCGTGAATTCAAGTGGTGAAAAAGAGAGGAGTCATTTTAATATGATTATCTAATTTGACCGGTTTTTACATTCAGTCTGGCTGAAATTCATATCTTACAGTGTTGAAGACCACTAAGAGATTTAATAATACTTAGGATGGGTGTGAGGCTCTTAGAACTAACCAGACAGCTTTGCCATTTACATGAATGATTTTGTTAGTATCTTGTCACAGTATTCCATTCCCTTGCTTAAAAAACCTTGAAATGTCATTGCTATTAAATGCAATTTAAGAAATCTCTTTTAAAAAAAAAAGTAAGAAACCCTACAGAAACACACATTAAAGTCATGCTTGTTTGTGATATGCTTACAAGGCACAGTATTTTAAAGTTAATGCTTGATTGGCTTCAATTTATCTTGAAATATACCCAAATTACATCTGTGTTTATACTAAGAGTAGCCTAGAGGTTGAGTTCTCTGTAGTTCTTAATAGAAGTAGTATAGATGAAGACATGAGAGTATATAGGAAATGTCCTTATGATTAAAGCATGTGTATTGCACAGTTGAAAACTCAGGTGCAGAATTCTTCACAGGAGTAATAATACACAGTAAGTGAATTCAGGTTGTAGTTTTGTATCAGACTGATTTCAGAAACTCATAATTTTCCACAAGTCTTTACTAGTCAGCTAAATCTGGATTGTATCACCTTTGTTTCCATAGAACAGTGCAAATAATACATGCTTCGGTTCTCCTTTCTGTCCCAATTTCTTGGAATATGTACAAATAAGCAATTTGAAGACTGCTTCTTCATAATTAAGAACCTTATTTTCTCAGATTTAATGCAAAAAGGGGAAATTGAGAATAACAGTCTTAGAAATGACTCTTGCTGTTCTTTCTGGCAGCAAAAGCCCATTTCCCATGGGAATGCAACTGAGTTGTCCTTAGGGAAGAAGATGATACACATTTGTATAGAGCCTTTGTGCTCTTCAGCTTAAGGTGGCTGTGGCATTAGTAGAGTAAGAGCTGTGAATGATAGCTGTTCATTTTGGAAGCTGAGAGTATTCTAAAAGAGAACATTTACGCAGAAGATATCCATAATTATTTATGAAGAGGAAGGCTATCACAAACTCGTCTCTTTTTCAGTAACCGTCAAGTAGATGTGATACATTCAAGATTTCTGTGGTATGGTATGTTTATAGTTTGAGAAGTGACGGTGTCTCACAATGACATTTCTGTATGGGCCTTCCATAAGTTACAAACTGGAGAATTTGTTCATGAATTCTCAAAAGTGTGTTTGCATTTTGATTATATGATGTTTTAATTTTGGTGAAGATGTGCTTTATTGGTAATAGGGGGGGGTTATTTGTGGGGTGGGTTTTTTGTTGTTGTTTTGGATTTTGGGGCCTGCTTCTTGTTGTTTAGGTTTGTTTGTTTGATTTTATTTTTTTTTTTTTAACTGCTTCCTTTTTCATAAGTATCTGAATCTGCTTGTATAGAAAGTTCTCTATGTCTTAGGTTATGGAGCTTTGGATGGACATGTGTGTATTTTTTGTAGAACTGGAGACTCTGTTCTGTGACTGCCAGAATAGAAGTTCATTCTGGTTGGTTTGTGGTCTCATTAAACTGATATTTTTACCTCTCCTCCTTTCCTCCTTCTTTGCCCCCTGGCCTTCTCAACCCTGCTGTTCTCTTTTGATTGTGTCTGGGCAGCTCTGCCTACCGAGAAGGTCAAGGGGCAGGGTGGCAGGAGGCAGGGTGGCAGAAGGTGAGCATGCAATTTCCGCTATTCTGCAGAAAAATAAAAAGCTTCACCTTGCTGCTGTGCCCCCAAGATAAATGGAGATATATATCGTGGGGTAATAATTGCTTTTTGAATAACGATCCTTATATTTGAGTAGTCTCTGTACCTTTTTCATGTAGCAGACTGTTAGAAAGCTGTTAACGTTAGAACTACAACCTGTCCATTGGCAACATAATATGCAAAACTTGAATAGTTTTTTGTAGTAGTTTCATCCTACTGTGATTGTAATAGGTCAGAGTGCCTGGTAGTGGTAAGTCTGAAGGAATAGGCCCTAAATAGTTCATTTGGCACTAAAAAAAGAGGTTTGAAAAAGAGAATGCAAAATGTTAAGCACAATCTGAAGTTACTGTACAATTTGTGAAAAAGGAAAACGTTTGCTAAAATTTTGTCTCTGTTCTGCGTTCTTGATTATGCCATCAACTTGTTTTTTCTTGAAGATACTGAATTGTTACGAATGACTTGGACTTCCTAAGTTGAGTGATAGTACTTAAATAATTGAGAACATTTTTGGTAATAATTGTGGAGGGGTTGAGTAGCTGCTGGTTTTACCTCTGAAGATTCACCTAGTCATCTGGCTTGCTTTTTTCCTTTACTTTCATTTTAAAGCTTTGTAACGTGCGAGAGGTCTACATATGTGCTGTGAATAACATTTTCAAAATAGTGTTTTTTCTGGTTGCAGGGCTTAATTCTTAATTTGGAAACAGTCCATAATTTGGAGGTTGGGGACTGTGTAATATGGCAGAGCAGTTGTGCTTGTTTCCCAGTGTGTACTGGGAAAGTACAGTAGCTGTACACTCCCAGCCTTAGAGTGTACTTCCATGGGAATTGTCACATTGCTTCCCCTTGGATTGCTTATAGTGGAGATTTGGATCTGAAGGGAATTTTTAAGAGGAATGTAGGTTGTGGTTGAATTTCAGTTTTGTTTAGAGAAAAATTTTAAAAATCTTACCTAATTTTCTAGTACAGATGGCTAGGCGGTTGGTCAAGGAAGGAGTCATTGGAGTTTGTGAGACAATTGCGTGTGCAGAATGTCACATACAGACATGGTTTGTTTATCTGGGCAAGGAGTAGGCATCCTGGGAGATGCTGTAGGTTTCTTTGAGAGGTATAAAAAACATTTACAGGCTATGAGGGTAGATACAGGGAGTTGAAATTTGAAGTTCAGACCTATGATTATGGAACTGGTCTAAAACGGGACTGTTTTGTCACTTGTCACAACTGCTGTACAAAAATCTGATTTCTGCAGTTCTAATAAGAAACCAGACATTTTACATTATTATTTTGAACTTTCAGGTGTATGTATGCTAATTTATATACTGGGCAACTGTAAGTTTAAGGCTTACCTGTTTATCTGGAAGATTATTAATAATCAAAAGCTCATGAGAATAGAGAAGCGATAGACAAGTTACTGACAACTATCTTATTTTTAAAGGACAGTTGTTGACATGAATGCAAATTGAAAATGGCACTTCTGTATTATGGGAGTTGCCCGAAGACCAAAACTAGTTAGGAATTTGAAAAGTGCTACTTTGTGCAGGTCAATTGTCCTTGCAGCTATCTGTTTACAGGCTGTTTGGTGGTGGTTATTCTTAGATGCTCATGTTCAGCTTTCCTGGTTGCTCTGCTGTCTTTGATAGGTGGTATTTGAAAGCATGTTGCTGTTTGTTGTACTTTTGTGTACATGCACCATATTGGAATATCTAGTAAATCTGAGCTTTCTTGCCTGCTAAAAGTTGTGCTTCTGCTTTTGGGCTTCCGATGTCCCCACAGTGCTGTCTTGCAATCTTCCCATCACACAATGGTGCCTGCTGTTCTCTGAGACTATAAATCGGCTAGCTAGGATAACACCTGAGAACTCGGGTCTAGATGTGGCTATGAAAATTTAGACTTTTCAAGTCTTAAGAAAGACCAAAAAATTCTGACTCTACTTACATTACCAGAAGGGTATGAGAAAAGAATTGTTCTCCATATGTGCATATTTCTGAAACTTACTTTTCCCTAACTTTCTTTAAATTTCCAAATGTTGATAAATTGCCATCTCGAATCCTGCTCAAAAAAAAATCCCTGTAATACTGAACAAATTTTTTTGTTAGCGCTATTCTTAATGGGGAGTAGAGTAGGTGGAAAGCAAATAGAGCACAGTCTTTAAACTTTGTCATCCCGTGAAGTGCTCAGATCAGTAGCTGGCTGCCAGTATTGGCATGACTAAGAGGATGTAGTATTTTTCTTCAAGAACAGTAGTAATTATGACCATAATGAGTTGGGCAATAGCCATAAAATTCAAGAACTACTGAGTCACTTCTGTGCAGTGTTATCTTAAGCTGAAATTTCAGTTGGTTGCTTGTTTCTTGTTAGGTTGTAAACTCGCTGCAGCAACAGACACAAGCTACATCTCCTCCGGTTCCTGAACCTCACACGCTCACTACTGTGGCTCAAGCAGACCCTCTTGTTAGAAGACAGCGAGTACAGGACCTTATGGCGCAGATGCAGGGCCCGTATAACTTCATGCAGGTATGATGAACCCACCATGGTACTGTGAAGCTAGAACCAAAGAAACACAAAATAGCACTTTTTGGCTATTAGTCAGGATTTAAAGAGTCTGCTCTAGCTTATTTGGAAAATACAATCATAGAATCATAGAATGGTTTATGTTGGAAAGGGCCTTGAAGATCATCGAGTTCCAACCCCCCTGCCATGGGCAGGGACACCTCCCACTAGACCAGGTTGCCCAAGGCCACGTCCAGCCTGGCCTTGAACACCTCCAGGGATGGGGCCTCAACAGCCTCTTGCAAGACAATGGTTTTGCAAACAGTATAGTACTGTATGGCACGATCTTACCCAAAGCCTGCAAACCTGTATTGCTGTCCAAGTACAATGAGAATGTTATTTAGCTTTTCAATCCTTGTTTGTACAGAGAAGGCAGAAAGTTGGGCATCACTGGGTGCTGTAGTGTGTATTCTACTTAAGTGAGACCAGCTGTAAAATACCTTTCTAGAAGCTAGTTCTGAATTTTGTGTTACGAGAAACTTCTACAACACTTGAAGGTAATACTTCTTGGGTTGCTTCTTGAAGGCTCTCTTGTAACTTCTAAAGTTAGAACAACTAGAAATGCTTTGGAAGATAACGGAATACATCAGAGAAAGCCTCTCCTCTTCCTCTGCACAGAAAGAGTGGACACCCTGGTAATAAATGAGGCATACACTTCTTTCTTAGGTTCCTTTTTTTGTTTCTTCCTACAGACTGCTAGTTTAGGATAAAGAATAAAGAACTGTTGCCTATTCTATCTGGCTACTAAAATCTCCATCCAGTTATCTTTTTGTCAGATAAGCTGTAATTTGTATACGTGGACTGAATTTTTATTGTGATAAACACATTTTGGAATTTTTAGTAGCTTCATTGATTTAAAATGTGTGGTAAGACCAGCAAATGTGTAACTGTGGACCAAGGTTCCTTTAGTGTAACCTGGTTGTTTCTGTACTCTGAATGTTAATATTTTTAAAATGCAGTAAATTGGATTTTATTTTATTATTTTTATTTTTTTCCCAGGATTCTATGTTGGAGTTTGAGAACCAAACACTTGATCCTGCCATTGTATCTGCACAGCCCATGAATCCAGCACAGAACTTGGACATGCCACAAATGGTTTGCCCTCCAGGTTTGTAATGGTAAATCCTAAACATAAATATCGGGGAGGTCTGCAAGTCATCTATTAGAAATGCTTCAGTTACTGCTACCTAGTAATGAGGTCTTCACAAGCAGTAATACTATACTGTAAAGTGTGTTTTTATTGGAAATGTGGTTGTACTTTTGAAGCATACTATTTGTAGACTTCAGATTCTCACTTGCTTCTAGATTTTGCTTGAAAGTGTGGAACATTTTAAACTTTTTTAAATGGACAAAATATAGTTTTCCTTAGCCTTTCGGAAATCGCTGGATTATTTTGGACAACTGGAAAAAACATACTTTGCATAGAAATGGTAATTAGTATTTTGATTATAGCTTTGCCATGCCATCATCTTTATGATGATGAGCTCTCAAATAACTGAATTGGATAAGTTGTTAATGCTATTCTGTAACAGGTTTGGTTGTACTATGTAATAAGTGAAATTATTTTACTTTAGTTCATGCCGAGTCAAGACTTGCCCAGCCTAATCAAGTTCCTGTGCAACCAGAAGCTACACAGGTACATTTTCAGTACACTCTTATTTTGGATTGACTGATGTTGTAATAGGACTTTATTCCTAGCTATATGAAAAACTCAAAGAAAAAGCTGAAGCTCTGATTTGGGGAAATCTGTTATCTCCATTATCTCTTCAACGTTTTCACTTATGACTACGTACAGTTTTATGCTATGCAGACATTGCGTATTTTCTGTAATGGAGTCTTATCAGGCATTACCCTGTTCAGAAAACTGTTGGGTTCAAGGTTGAACTACAAGTTTATTGAGGAAACTGCATTTCTAATTAGAGGCCTTTTAACGGAAGGGCATAAGCCTGGAAGCAGTTGGAGTTTGCGCTGCTCACTCTAATGGCCCAATGTGGACTTCTCAGCAGTTACCAGTTCTTTCAATATGTGGAGCTCACACAAGTCTTCAAATTTGGGGTGTGGATGTGATTTTCATTTCATAAATTGAGTTCCACATGCCTGTGTGTTAGGCTGCCATCACTTCAAATCTGTAACATGTGACAGTGGTGAATTTCTAAGGGGTTTTTTTTGTGATTCAGAGGAAGGACTGTGGAATGCTGCTCTGCTGTCCTACTCTAATATAGCAGTTTAACTTGAGGCTTCTCTGTCCGTTCTGTTCAAGATGGACTAATAATTTGACATGTTTGAATTATGGACTAATAATTTGACATTGGAATCACAGAATGGTTTGGGTTGGAAGGGCGCTTTAAGATCATCTAGTTCCAAACCCACTGCCCTGGATGGGGAAGGACACCTTCCACTAAATGTCAATCTTTGCCTAGCAGTGTTCTCTTTCATGTTAAGGCATATGTAGTAATATTTTTAATGTAGGTAGAAGCAAGTTGCCCTTTATTTGCGACAGAAATGCCAAAACAAAAATAACTTCGTTAAAGGGCGGTCTGTATCTGTTCAAGTGGGCATCAGACTACAAATAGATTTAATGGGTTAACTATATAGTTAGTGATGTTGTTTTTTGACTTGTTCTGTTAAGGGTGAGTCCCAGTTGCTTGCTTGGATAATGTTTTGATACTGGAGTTGTAGAGCAGTCGGGATGAGTTTGAATTTGGTTTTCAGTTGAGCTTTCCTGAAATGTCTAAGTAGGGTCTCTTAAACATGCTTCTGCAATGTATAAATGATGTATTCACTTTTTCGTTAAGATGTGCCACTTTCTTACTGAATTGTCTAGTGATTAAAGAACTTCCTGATTTTGTATTTAGCATGTGTGGCATCTCTGAAGGACTTTGCTGGTCTCAAGTAATGAATGCGATCCCTGTAGGTGTTTGAAAACCAAAAGAGAAGCCTGGATAGATTGTGTATCTTAGTGCTGGTAGTATAAATTGCTTGTTTTATCTTGTCCAGATTAGATCTGCAAGTTTTAAGTCACTCATTTGTATATAACAGGAATGTGGGTTTTCTCTTGAGTTTCCCCTGTATGTAGCTGCTGAAGCGCTAGTACTCTCAACTCTTTGTTGGTTTTTTTGTCAGAGTTCTCTATTCAGTAGTTTTTATTTTACTGTTAAATAATGTCTATCACTTTCTCCAATTGATTTTTTTTTTTTTTTTCTTATTTTCCTTACCTCAGCCAGTGCTGCCAATGATTCCCTTGGGGATCTTGCAAGCAGTAGCTAAACTTACCTCTTTCCTTTTGAATGTTCAGCGAGGTGATGTGAACACACCCATCAGTTGTTATCGTTTGCTTCTTAAAGTCCCCGATAGCCTTAAATGCAAAGTCCTCTGCTTTGTTGGCCAGTTTTCACTGGACTCTGTAGGGAAGCAGAGGCTGTAACATGAGCAAATTCAGTCCATTGGAGACCAGAACTTCTCTATTTCTGTATGAGCTTGGAGTTCTCTCATTCAGACTTCTGTGTATTTCTCTCTCTCTCTCTGTCTTTCCCCATTTTTATTGTAATGGTAGTTGGGGTTGCATAAGGAAATGAGGAGGAGGAGGAGGAGGAGGATGTTCTTCAGTAAAAGCAAATCCACATCCAGCTGACTCAGAAATATCCACAGAATGCTATCTGGCAGGGGCTGGCTGTTAAAAAGTACTTAATTTTTAATGGTTGTAAAGATTTGCGGGAATACGTACTTTTATTAGAAAGTACCATTCATTCCAGAGTTCTGTGATACTTTTTATAAAACTGTGTGTGAGCATCAGCTGACTTTTGGGGGCTTTGGGGTTTATCTTGTCAGGTTCCCTTGGTTTCTTCTACAAGTGAGGGATATACAGCCTCCCAACCCATGTATCAGCCTTCTCACACAACAGAGCAACGGCCACAGAAAGAATCAATTGACCAGATTCAGGCAAGTCAGATTTCACAGGGGTGGGAAGGACTCTGCTTGCAGGTGTGATCAAATATTAGTCTGTTTCTTTGTATATAAAGTTTTGTAATTTTAGTTACCTATTGATAGGGCTGCTTCAGTTCTGTTTAATTCCAAAATTTTGAGCCTGTCTGTGACCAGTAAGTCCTTCGTAGTAAGACTTTTAACTTAATAGATCATCTGTTTAATTAGAAGTAACATGCCAACATCAGCATATGAGCATGAGTGTTGTTGGCTTAGGAAATGTGGTTTATTTTTTTACATTCGCTAGCAGTTAGCCCAAAAACTTGTTCATTTCCCCTTGTAGTTTTTTCTAGTTGTTTCAAGTTAATGAGGGAGAACAAGACTGCTAGGTTTTTCACCTCCCATTATGCCATCATGAATGAGGCTGTTCAGCTGAAATAGAAAGTACTCGTTTGTTGACGTAAACCTGAGGCATTGTCACTTTTTCTTTAAGTTAAATTTTTGATGTTACTCAAAAGCTGCTAAAATGTTGTTTGTTTTCGTTATTAGGCTTCAATGTCACTGAATGCAGACCAGACCCCATCATCATCGTCGCTTCCCACTGCATCTCAGCCGCAGGTGTTCCAAGCTGGATCTAGCAAACCTTTGCATAGCAGCGGAATCAATGTTAATGCAGCTCCATTCCAATCCATGCAAACAGTAAGCAGTAAATTAATATTGAATCCCTTTATTTTGGTAGTCATTCCTTGTGTTGTTACGCAAACACTGGAACCAGTCTTGTGATTACATAAAATAGTCTTTGGTTATTCACATTTCTCAGACTTGCATACTTCTTCACATGATGCGATGAGGAATTGTAAAAAATGAATTGGACCAGAGAGCTATTTTTCTAACATTATAGGTATTCAACATGAATGCACCTGTTCCTCCTGTTAATGAGCCAGAAACCCTTAAGCAGCAAAATCAGTACCAGGCCAGTTACAACCAGAGTTTCTCCAATCAGCCTCACCAAGTAGAGCAATCAGATCTGCAGCAAGAACAACTCCAGACAGGTAAACTTATTTTAGCAAAAACTGAAATGGCAGTAGCTTGAGTAGAGCAGATGATCAGGCTCTGAAGTCCTAGATGATGTAGCAAAGCATGTCACACATTCTGAAATGTTCCTAGTCTTGTGAAGCTTTCCCCTGAACAGTGCCTGGTTTTTGTTATTCTGTTTTGGTTTGAGTGTCCCGCAGGGGGTGAAATTCAGCATATGTATGTCCAACTATTAAAAGAATTTTGCCACTGGGTTCAGTTTTATATGGGTGTGGTAGGTTGACCCTGGCTGGATGCCAGATGCCCACCAAAGCCCCTCTATCACTCCCCTCCTCAGCTGGACAGGGGAGAGAAAATACAGTGGAAGGCTCGTGGGTCAAGATAAGGACAGAGATCACTCATCAGTTACCATCCTGGGCAAAACAGACTCGGCTTTGGAAATTAATTTATTACCAATCAAATCAGAGTAGGATAATGAGAAATAAAACCAAATCTTTAAAACACCTTCCCCGACCCCTCCCCTCTTCCCAGGCTTAACTTTAGTCCTGATTTTCTCTATCTCCTCCCCCACAGCAGTGCAGGGGGGACAGGGAATGGGGGTTGTGGTCAGTTTATCACATGTTGTTTCTGCCACTCCTTCCTTCTCACGCTCTGTTCCAGCATGGGGTCCCTCTGACAGGAGACAGTCCTCCACAAACTTCTCCAACATGAATCCTTCCACAGGCTGCAGTTCTTCATGAGCTGCTTCAGCGTGGGCCTGTTCCATGGGGTACAGTCCTTCAGGAACAGACTGCTCCAGCGTGGGTCCCCCACGGGGTCACAAGTCCTGCCAGCCAACCTGCTCCAGTGTGGGCTCCTCTTTCCACAGGGCCATGTGTTCTGCCAGGAGCCTGCTCTGGCATGGGGTCCTCCAGGGGCTTCAGGTAGATATCTGCTCCACTGTTAACCTCCATGGGCTGCAGGGGGACGGCCTGCCTCACCATGATCTTCACCACGGGCTGCAGGGGAATCTCTGCTCTGGCACCTGGAACACCTCCTCCCCCTCTTTCTTCATTGAGCTTGGTGTCTGCAGAGTTGTTCTCTCACATACTCTTACCCCTCTCTTCGGCTGCAGTTGTGCAGGACTTTTTTTTCCCCCTTCTTAGATATGTTATCATGGGGGTGCTACCAGCATTGCTGCCAGGCTCGGCCTTGGTCAGCAGTGGATCGATCTTGGAGCTGGCTGACACAGACATAGGGGAAGCTTCTAGCAGCTTCTCACAGAAGCCACCCTTGTAGCTCCCCTTCTCCCCGCTACCAAAACTTTGCCACAAACCCAATACAGGTTTAACAGGATTAAGGATTATTCTAAAGATGAAAGCAATATAGCGGAGTACTTGCTGTGCTGATGTTAAGGTTGGATGATCCTTAAATTTGCTTTTTAAAAAAAAAAAAGTTGTACTATTTGAGATGACATTTTAAAAAGGAAATAGTAAGCTAGAATTGAGAGCAAATATGGACTGCTTCTCACACATCATGTAAGGTTCATAAAAAATCTAGAACCTTTTGCCTAAAATCAGGTAGACAGGGTTTGAATATAACAGGCAAAATGCTGTCCAAGTTAGCAACTTAAAAAAAAAAAAAGTATGTACAAAGCTATTCTTTTCCCAGCACTCTCTCACTTTCCACTGAGGTGAAATTTGCAGACAGAGAGAGGGATTTTTGAGTGAAAGACACAGGACAGAGATGACAAGGGTGAAGTGTTAACAACTACTGAAGTTGGAGTAAGGAAAAGAGCCTGATCCTTCTTCTCTATAACTGATTATGAGCTTGAATTTTGTCGTCTTTGCAAGTGGGGGATACTGGGGTGTGTGCATGGGAAGAGGGAGAACCAAGTTTTCGTTGTCTAAGTTTTTTGAGCCATATACAGCACACAGCAGAAAGACAATCTGGGGCATGCTGGTGTTAAAGGTGGACCATGCAATATTAAATGCTTAAATTTATAGAACAGCTGAGTAAACGTAGCTGTTGATACACAGAAAATGCAGTAGCTTTAGAACAAAATCTGCACACTAACTAAACAATCAAAAAAATGACCACTTCATGCATTTCACGAGAATTGATGGGAAGTTAAGGAGAAGGGAGGATCCCTGCGGAAGTTCCGTAGTGCTCTGTGGCTGAGTGAAGTAGACATAAATCTTCCTTCCCTGCAAACGAGAGGGGCTTTATCACTTAGAAATTTTCTTTGAGATCTTGCTTCAGCATTTGTTATCAGCCTAAATTTTAAAGCTGTCTTGTTCTTGCATATGGAATCCCTCCCATCTTTTGTTACTCTTACTGAGCCTATGGCTCTCGGATTGCTTTTGTAATCTACTTCATTCCTGACGATTCCTGTGAAGTGAAGATGTTGTGGCAGACTTTACTTCAAAGAAGCAGTTAGTCTCAGGCTATCGAGTTTGCTCTTGCCTTTTGAGTTATCCTTCTGTATAAAGAAAGGATCCTTCAGCCTGTACAGTGAAAACAGCAGCTCTGGTAAAATGTTCCTGCCAATCACACCTTAGTCGGCACGGCAACACCTAACAGAATTTAGTGAAAGCAAAGATTTATTAGTGGCTCTCTGCCAGTTCAGAGGGGAGGAAATTACAGAAGTGGGTTAGAAATACAGAAGTGGGTTAGCTTACTCATACTGTTTTTTCCAGAGTATGTGTTGCTGATTTTTAAAGAATTTGAAGTAGCACAGGAAAATTGTACCTACCTTAGGAATACTTGTTGCTGAGCTTACACTAGACACTTCTTGACACTGACTTAAATCAACTTTCTACCATTTCTGGGTTGTTCTCATATTGTGGGCTATCTGATTAGTAAACTTGGTACTTAATTTTGCAGATTATTTTTCTTTGAATAGGTGAGCATTTATTGATTTATTGTTCAACAGTATTTCAAAGCTTTGAATGTTGAGTTTGAAGAGAGTATATATGGGAACATAAATAAAGAAACGCATTTTTTTATACTCCATTTTTTCTCCCCGTTTCCCCGCTACCAAAACTTTGCCACAAACCCAATACAGGTTTAACAGGATTAAGGATTATTCTAAAGATGAAAGCAATATAGCGGAGTACTTGCTGTGCTGATGTTAAGGTTGGATGATCCTTAAATTTGCTTTTTAAAAAAAAAAAAGTTGTACTATTTGAGATGACATTTTAAAAAGGAAATAGTAAGCTAGAATTGAGAGCAAATATGGACTGCTTCTCACACATCATGTAAGGTTCATAAAAAATCTAGAACCTTTTGCCTAAAATCAGGTAGACAGGGTTTGAATATAACAGGCAAAATGCTGTCCAAGTTAGCAACTTAAAAAAAAAAAAAAGTATGTACAAAGCTATTCTTTTCCCAGCACTCTCTCACTTTCCACTGAGGTGAAATTTGCAGACAGAGAGAGGGATTTTTGAGTGAAAGACACAGGACAGAGATGACAAGGGTGAAGTGTTAACAACTACTGAAGTTGGAGTAAGGAAAAGAGCCTGATCCTTCTTCTCTATAACTGATTATGAGCTTGAATTTTGTCGTCTTTGCAAGTGGGGGATACTGGGGTGTGTGCATGGGAAGAGGGAGAACCAAGTTTTCGTTGTCTAAGTTTTTTGAGCCATATACAGCACACAGCAGAAAGACAATCTGGGGCATGCTGGTGTTAAAGGTGGACCATGCAATATTAAATGCTTAAATTTATAGAACAGCTGAGTAAACGTAGCTGTTGATACACAGAAAATGCAGTAGCTTTAGAACAAAATCTGCACACTAACTAAACAATCAAAAAAATGACCACTTCATGCATTTCATGAGAATTGATGGGAAGTTAAGGAGAAGGGAGGATCCCTGCGGAAGTTCCGTAGTGCTCTGTGGCTGAGTGAAGTAGACATAAATCTTCCTTCCCTGCAAACGAGAGGGGCTTTATCACTTAGAAATTTTCTTTGAGATCTTGCTTCAGCATTTGTTATCAGCCTAAATTTTAAAGCTGTCTTGTTCTTGCATATGGAATCCCTCCCATCTTTTGTTACTCTTACTGAGCCTATGGCTCTCGGATTGCTTTTGTAATCTACTTCATTCCTGACGATTCCTGTGAAGTGAAGATGTTGTGGCAGACTTTACTTCAAAGAAGCAGTTAGTCTCAGGCTATCGAGTTTTCTCTTTCCTTTTGAGTTATCCTTCTGTATAAAGAAAGGATCCTTCAGCCTGTACAGTGAAAACAGCAGCTCTGGTAAAATGTTCCTGCCAATCACACCTTAGTCGGCACGGCAACACCTAACAGAATTTAGTGAAAGCAAAGATTTATTAGTGGCTCTCTGCCAGTTCAGAGGGGAGGAAATTACAGAAGTGGGTTAGAAATACAGAAGTGGGTTAGCTTACTCATACTGTTTTTTCCAGAGTATGTGTTGCTGATTTTTAAAGAATTTGAAGTAGCACAGGAAAATTGTACCTACCTTAGGAATACTTGTTGCTGAGCTTACACTAGACACTTCTTGACACTGACTTAAATCAACTTTCTACCATTTCTGGGTTGTTCTCATATTGTGGGCTATCTGATTAGTAAACTTGGTACTTAATTTTGCAGATTATTTTTCTTTGAATAGGTGAGCATTTATTGATTTATTGTTCAACAGTATTTCAAAGCTTTGAATGTTGAGTTTGAAGAGAGTATATATGGGAACATAAAGAAACGCAGGCTTTTATACTCCATTTTTTCTCCCCGTTTCCAATATAGTGGTTGGTACTTACCATGGTTCCCCGGACCAGAGCCATCAAGTGGCGGGTAACCACCAGCAACCTCCCCAACAGAATACTGGATTTCCACGCAACAGTCAGCCTTATTATAACAGTCGAGGAGTGTCTCGTGGTGGATCACGTGGGGCTCGTGGCTTAATGAACGGTTACAGGGGACCCGCAAATGGATTTAGAGGTAAACAGCTTTATTAAACACTCCCATTTGACTTTTACTTCTTTCTGGACACCATCTCAAGATACCCAGTGTTAACCTGACCAACTGTTGGTTTTATACTGTAGTAATGTTTCTGTAATATATTTTAAACTTGTAGTAAAATCCCATTTGCTTTAGCGAACTTAAGCAACTTACATTTTAGGTGTTTGGTTAGGCTTCCTACGAGGATGTAAACAAAGAAACATTTTTTTCTGTTCTGTGCTGAAGGCTTAGTGTTAGTTTGGTTAGGCATCTACTGCAAGCATGAGCAAACCCAGAAATACCTCAACAGAATTATACAACCATCAAGTGAGGGATTCAGATGCCAATTGGTATTTCAAAAATGTCTTATTTCCAGTTATGGCAGAAGTGGTGTATTTAAAGGGCTCCATGTTTCATCCTATTGAGGATAGGCTGGATAATGCAGAAATAAAATAACAAAAAAGTCCGAAAGTCACTACTCTGAGGGAATTAACGCGAGCGGAGGAATGATACTCTAGTTCCTGATAAATTTGAGAACTTTCATGATTCCTGGAGATTACTATATATGGCTGTCAATGTTACGAAGACATGTATGTTAGAACAGGAGATAGAGACGACTTCCTTGTCAGATGTTCTGAGATTAGACTAATGGATCGTGTACTGTGTGCTTTTGCCATGATCTCTTCCTGTCGTGTGGTTAGAGAGTAGAGGAGAAACCTCTATAACAAAGATACAACTGATTGTAGTAGGGAATGCAGTGGTCACTATTGACTGCTTAAAATGGATCTGGATTCCACGTGTTAGACCCGTGGGACTGGAGCCATCCTCGGACATGGTTCCCAGCACTCCAGAGAGTCTTAGCTCAGGAGCAGCTTCTTGCTTGAGTTGGCTGTTGTGGCCTTGCAGGTCATAGCTGTTGCATTTAGATCCTAGTATTACCTTTAGCTCTGAATCGAATGTTATGTAAATCAAACTTCAAATTACTAGAGCAATGCATTGAATTGCTATCTCCTCCCAGTTCTTACTAGGTCCTCATTCTTGTTTCTTATAGTAGTGTTAGCACCAGTGTTGCACTCATTCACTTGACTTGCAGGTAAACAGTACTTACTAAAGGGGTTTTTCCCTTAGGTTTAGGTAAAATGCTGTTACTGCTTTTGTTTATATGGTAGTATAAAGTAATAGGCTATCATTTCCAAGTGAAAGACTTGTACCCTGTTCCTTAGGAGGATATGATGGCTACCGTCCTTCCTTTTCCAACACTCCAAACAGTGGTTACACGCAGCCCCAATTTAATGCTCCTCGGGATTATTCAAACTACCAGCGGGTAAGCTACCATTCTGTTGTGACAGTCTAGAAGCGGAATTTAAAAGTACCTGTCAATGAAAGCACTCAAACAAATCTATTAGTGAAAACTTTTCCAAGGATTTTGTTTATTGCTAATGAAGGCAAAAGTTTCAGGTACTAAACAGATACTTAGAAATAGCAGAATATTAAATGGTTGGTTATAATGAGGAAACATATTCTGTTTGGCTGATTGATCTCTAAAGGGATTAGTCTAGTAATTAGAGCAAGGTTGAGTGAATTATAAAGAACTCTTCCTTAAAGATAATTATTTTCACAGCTTTGTGAGAAAAAAAACTTAAAGAACGTAAATCCATTGAAATTAACTTTTCAAACTTGTTTGGGATTGCCTGTCTTCTACAATGGGGATTTGTTACTCTGAAATTTGTGCATAATTTTGCTGTTCTGAAGGAAGTGTGCTCAGTTTGCTCAAAGTTTAGACTGACTGGAAAATGTCTTAACTCCTTATAGCCCTGAACAAGTATTTTTAAGCAAATGAGATGACAGATTTTGATCCTGCCATTAGAATGTCTCTTCATTTATTGACTGGTCCTTCAGCAAATTCATCTGTTTGACCTCTGTGTAGTTTGAAAAATTTGAACACTAAATACATCTAGTTACAGTTTTTATTTAGATTGAACAACATATCCTGTAACTGGAGAGAGAATTTGTCGTTGTATGTTTTATTATACCTGCTGGGTACTAGTAGGAGTAAGAATGTATTTTTCTAAGATTAATTTAAACTAATAAAATGCTGTATGCTGAAGTCACAAGTGTTTTGTCAGTGCACATTGTTTTAAAAGCTCCTTATTTTATTGGCATTTAATAGATTCCTGAAACATAACAAAATGCCCAGGTTTCCTGTCTTAACTTTTTTTCATTTCTTTGCTTCAGGATGGATATCAACAGAATTTCAAACGTGGCTCTGGACAAAGTGGACCTCGCGGAGCTCCTAGAGGTAATTCCTGAGCAGTGAATAATTGATTTGGGCTGAATGGAAATTTTTTTGATCCACCTTCTAGAGTTTTGGATTTAAAAAGCAACCTCACTCCTTACTCAGCAGGTCACAACTGAAGAATGAGCTTACTTTCCTCTGACCTCATAGTTGACCCTGCTTTTGAACAGAGGTTGGACTTGGAGGACCCCTTGAGGTCCCTGCTGACTGGAATTATACTGTGATCCTTTGAACTTGTGGAAGTTCAGTGGGCTGTTGAACGAGGAATTCTTTGAAACGAAGTTAAAACAATTGCTTTTGACACTTTAAATGTAACAGAACTATTTATTTCCCTTTTATTAATGAAAGCCTTAGAAAGTGATTATTTTTTTTTTTGTGAGGTTTATTCCTTACATTACTGCAAAACTTTTAATTTTAGTCTGATGTTAATATCTTCATAACTACTTTTTTTTTTCTTCATTTTTACTTGAGGTGATTACAACTTCGTAGTTCTGGGGGAAAAAAAAGTATTGGGATAGAGCTGAAAACTGTAAAAGCAGGTTATGTGCTGTTGAGTTTTGATTTGAAGGAGTTTTTAGAACCTTATATAGTCTACATGCAAACCTCGGAATTCTTACCCAGTTTAGACCAGCACTTTTAGGGTTTTGGTTTTTTTTTTAAAAAATCTGACTTCGTGCATAATTCAAGTGCCTTTTTATGTTTTCTAGGTCGTGGAGGGCCCCCAAGACCAAACAGAGGGATGCCTCAAATGAATGCTCAACAAGTGAATTAAAAGAAATTCACGGGATTACATTAAACGCCAAAAACACACTGGCCAGTGTACTATACATGTTACCAGAAGAGTTATCTATTTGTTCTCCCTTACAGGAAGTTTGTTGTAAAGGGACTATTTTCATTACCCATAATGACAGGACTACAGTTGCCAGCTTTATATTACCTGGATATGGAAAGGAACGAAACAACGTTTACTCTGCATGTTCTGTCCTAAGCATCATCTTGAGCCTTGCACATGAGATTCAGATTCCTCACCCTTGCTAAGAGTAAAGCAAAAAAGGCAATTTTCAGGGTGATCCAATATCCATGGTTAACTGAAGTGGCAGGAAAAAGCAAAGACTCACTTCTGACATTTAAAAGTGATGTAACAAATTTGGATAAAATCTGCAAATTCGTAAAGATTTACCGTGGTGGCAGTTGATAAAACTTAATGTTCCCATGAAAGGATGGAAAAGGTGAAGTGTGGCTTGGTAGAGCAACTGCATTTCAGCTTTTTCTTATTAAATTGAAGC